AATACACACAGACACACACACGCACAGGTAGACATTCACACGTAGACACACATGTATACATACCCACAGACTGACAAACACACACACACAAACACATACATACAGACACACACATAGACATATACACCACACACACACACACACGCCCACCCACTCACTTAAACACGCATATTTAGAGGGAGAGAGGGAGGAAGGATGAAAGAAACATAGGTAAATTTTACGATGATCTCCCCATATACACACCGCTACACACTAGCTCGCTTCTGATTGGACGACCTACAGACCACCTCACTTCTTATAGGTCGGCCTCGAGCGATCCGACTTTCATACAATGTCACGGGGATATTTCGCACTCGCGCTCATATCGCGTTTTGTATATTTCACCACGTCAGAGCTTTTAACACTTCTAAAACATTTAGATACTGGGTCTAACACACAATCCCCTTAGAGGGTAACAAAGCCTATGTCATAGTCCGTCTCTTTCTCGGAAATAAAAACATAAATGCCAGACAACAGTAGACTGCGACACCCATAGCCTCGACCACGGTAGACTAGTCCAACCAACTTATCAATGGAGTTGGCCTTCAACCGATGGTGTGTGAATGGGAAGACCAGCGTAAAACTCACCGAAACACATGTATGGGGGGGGGGGGTGCGTGCATCTCGCTGCTAAAAAATGCAAATATTTGGCGGGAAGATCGGTATGACTAGGCACGAGAAGCACACAGGACGTAGGAAAAGTCTTGTTCATCTTTGCCCTTCTCTTCTTCGACTACCCCCCAGTTTTCTTGAAGCACAGTCTTTACAATCGAAATGTGTATCACCTCATGCCTGAACCAAGCTAGCCTGCGACGTTTCACAAATGCCAAGAGAGGCCCCTGATGTCCTGCAAATGTGTAAATTTTGTCTGACATATTTATTAGTTTTGTGTTTAGATGGAGAGCAAGTTGACTAACCATAAAATGCGTCTATAGCATTTAAATTCGAAAGCATGAATCCTCCTTTCCATTTGCACAGTCAGAGTCCAACTCTCGCATCCATATAAGAAAATAGACAATAACCACTGATTTTTATATTTTGACCTCAACTGCGATGCTGATTTTGCTCTTTCACATCGTATTCAGATGGAACATCGCGGTCGTGCATACCTCAAGATAAGCTCAAATCTGAAGCACCCTTTGCACCACATTCTCTTCGGGAAAAATGGCAATAGACTTAAATGTGGCAAATTATGGCTGAGTAGGGCAAAGGATGACATCATGCAGGTCTGAAGTCTTACAGATTTTAATCCAGGTGAGGAATGGATACCAGCGTCTAAAGCGCCGAATCTAACATTATCCTGTGTCGTGACGCTTGATAGAAGTTATCTAGAGCAGAATCCTGCTGCTGTCAACACCGATGTATGCGCGCTAATCAGTGACAATTCAGATAAGACAGATGTGGTGACCTTCACACACGGGTCCTTTATACGCGGACATAAAAGTGCATTTTCATTTACAGCTCGCTCTTCAGGCAGAACAGTTCAAGAAGCCGGTGGTGCCTTTTCAATGACTACCAGCAGCATGACGATAGAGGTGATCGTGGGGACACAATCTTTCATGTGGCTGGGATCACAGGACTATTCTCGCGTGTGTGTGCTGAGTGATTCTTTGATGGGCGGATCGAGACATACTGGTTACGCAGACAGTGAAGTGAGTCAATGCAAACCTATCCTGTGTGTGCATTTACCTTCATATTTATTCCAGGGCGTGCAGGTATTGTTGGTAATAAAGGAGCTGATAGATTGGCAGGTGCCGCATTAATTGAAGATGCTCGGCCCATGGATCAGGCAGACATTATCAATGCCCTTAGAGAGATATGACGTTCTGAGGATTTTGGAAGCTAAGAATACGATAATTGTTAGTAAAGATCGGCACATGATAAGCACACTGGACGCACATGGCGTCTTGTCAACCAGCATAGGACTGGCACTACTAACCGCGTGACGCTGTGAATATGTTGAGAGGAGAATCAGAACACCTATGGATGTGTCCGGAGTGCTTTTAAGACAATCCAACTCATTACTCATGCCAAGAACACCAGAGCACATAAGAACATCTTGATAACCCAGCTAATTACCTACCGTACGCAGAAGAAGAAGAAGAAGAAGAAGAAGAAGAAGAAGAAGAAGAAGAAGAAGAAGAAGAAGAAGAAGAAGAAGAAGAAGAAGAAGAAGAAGAAGAAGAAGAAGAACAAGAAAATTGTGACAAAGGTAATTAATATTATGAAACCTTGTCATTATTTGATTTATTCTCCTTCTTTTTCATTTCGCAAAACAGCTTTAGCATCATTATTGTCCTCTTGTGTAGACAGCAACTATTGTAAAGACGACACCTGATTGATTGACTGATTCATCGATTAATCGATTGACTAGTTGTAGTCACATGGTGCTATGCAGCCACACGTAGTTCAACCTGGCACAATAAACGAGATCAACACCGTGTACACTTGTTTCTGTGCGCATGCGCAGACGCCAGCTTTAAGTGCGAAGAAGGAAGCTGGTGACAGTCTTGTTTACATCAGGTACCACAGTTGGCAGCCTACTTCACTAACAAATCGATGTTACGCCAAAACTAGGTTACAGATACATCTTTGTCAGACATCTTAAACATTGTGTCTGTACACTGTATCATTCGTAGCGCCTGTTTTCCCAGCAATATCGCCTGTAAAGTCGGGAGGAAAATTCACCAGTTCATCCGTTGTCCATTAACTTTTTACTGGCCAATTTGGTTAGGAGGAGGAATCGCTGAGGTAGCAAGTTGACAACAACGTAATTTCGCCGTAAGTTGATTTGTACGTTTATGGTTGAACTAGCTCTAAGACACCTATTTCAAAATATCGCCCACAGTGTACCACCAAAGATCTTTTAGTATGGTGTTTATAAATTATGATTTAGTTATAGTTACTTCTAATATTTGAAACTGAAATATTTAAAAAACAAACATGGTTCCCAGTTTCGTTTTTCGAAACTCAGCCTTCCCGAAAAGAATTGTATTCATGTAGCCGTAAGCCGAAAACTTTTAAAATAGCAGATAAATCATTTTTATGAAGCCCTTTCACATTAGTCCTTAGTTATGTAGAGACTTGTGAGTCTATTTAAATACCTTGTTTTATTTTTCAACAACTCTTTACGTGTCCCAAGTAGATGGTAATGTTTGTTATTTTTTCAAAATTGTAAATAATATTAAAATTAAATTTAAAAAATCAATATCTGAATGTAAATATCGACAGAAGCTGTTTTATTAATTTACTATTCAACTAATACTTGTTCAAATCAGAATGAATTACAGATAATACCATGAGAAAGAAAGGTTGAAAGTAGCAGTTGGACTTGGAGCAGAGTAAGTTATGGTAAAAGTAAAATAAGGCCTGGATAATAGACAGTTGCTGAGTTGGTTAAAAATAGTAGTATAATGAAGTAAAAATAGTGCACAGGGTGTGGGTCGAGGATTCGATCTGAATGAATTAAGTAAAATAAATTAAATATAATGGCTTAACTATTAATTTTTTCTCAAACAATGATAGTAATTAATAGCAATCATAAAATATTTCTAAGTTTAGTTTCTGCATCAGTAGTAGTAGTAGAGTAATAGATAATTAACGGAAGAAAACAAACCTACAGATTAGCACAATCGGTTCATTTACTTTTATAAATGTGTTCTTCAATATAAAGAGTGTCATTAGTGGGTGGTACTGATTACTGTTTAATTTTAGACACTAAGTGGCATACTCTGTGTCTGTTGCTGTAGCTTCAAAAAGTAGATAATTAACTTCAGCATTTTCATTTTGATATTTACCAACAACCACTCATTGCCATTATATATACTGAACATGGTCGGTTAGCAGATAAAGGTGAGACAGTGGTCACGAGCATTTACTGGGCTTATTTATATCGCAGACTTGTTTCTTTCCCATATGGGTTCCAGGGCCGGAAAAGAGGGGGAGGTTAGGTTGGTGAAGAAGAGGCCCATTCCCTTTCTTCCAAGCCTGTTGTAGGAGGCAACAAATTAAGGGTGTTTCTTTAAAAGTTGAAGAGCATCTGTCTGAGAGCAAGGGATCAGCAGTCTGCATACAAATAAGGTAGATCTGTCAAACAGATGTGCATACACAACTAATTCTGGAACAAGACTGAAGTCTAGAAGTGGTTGAACAATCACAACTTTCCACTAGAGTCAAGTCAGTGATTGCTAAGAAGAGAAAAGTTTACTGTGTCTGATTATAAAAGGTTATATAATAAACGTTATTGACTGTATCAGTGAAGAATACTCAAGGTAAGTTATAAAGAATTAATAGCACATTATTGAAAACAGTATCCAGAAATATAAAATTAACCTTTCTTTATACTTTTACCCAGCAGTGGAAGGGCAGCACACAAGAATGTGGAAAGGGGGGGGGGGGAGGAATAATCAATCATGATGAGTGAACAGTTGCATTTGAATAGACTAGTTTCACTCACTCACTTGCCTTGGCAGTTAGAAATAGCTAAGGACGTAGGTCATAAACCACCCAGTTAGGGGTGTTAATAAATGGGAAACCTCATAATTTTCTCAATAATTATTTCACTAACAGGCCACTAATCAGGAATGAACTGTCCTGTTCAGAAACTGTTTACTAGTCTTCAGGCTAAAGAACTAGATGTTTATTGATGATGTAAAAATGCATTACATGTTTACGGATGATGTACTGTTTTAATAACTTTTATTTTTTTTTAATGTATTGACTGTTTATAGCAGATGAAAATATATGTATTAACTGTTTTTGTTACTGTCCTGCACAGGTTTCAGATGTTCCAAATGTCACTGTTGTAAGATGAATGAAGACTGACTGTTTTTCCACACACTGCACAAGGTGCTGCTCCCTGAGCACCACACACTGCACAAGGTGCTGCTCCCTGAGCACCACACACTGCACAAGGTGCTGCTCCCTGAGCATCTCAGCAGACGTGTAAACGACACAGCACCATGTCAGATTCGTTTGCTGAGGAATTTGAAAAATGGCTGGAGAATAATCCGGAGGCCATAATTGCAGAAGAAACTGATGAGGAAGAAGCTAATGACATGAATGACAATGACAGTGAGTATACAAGGGACTCAATTCAGAATGGTGAATTTGAATCTGACAATGAGAAATGGGATGAACATTTGTCAGACAAGCCTGGTGAGCTGGGGACTGGACCTCTGAATGACCAAGCACCCATTTTAGTAGATGATGATGATGAAATATTTCCAAGTAAAAAGCAGCATTATGAGGAAGAACCACCAGTGCTAGAACCGGTGCCAAGACTGGCAAATAACTATACAATCTCTTCAACAAGGATTTCACATCAGAATCCTATCACTTCTATCCGCAGCTACAGTAAAAGTCAGCAGAAATATAGCAAAGAAGCCCTGACAACAAAACGTAACCATGTTGGGAAGTACATTCATAAAAGCAAAACCACCCATCCCTCGTCTGACACAGATGATGTGTCCAATCACAGACATGAATTGACTTCAGTGGACAGTAACAGTGACAACATTTTTGAGAAATTTATTTCTCAAGAGTATACTTTACCACCGTCACTTATTCAAAGTTCAGACATTTTGCAAAGTTGTTTAGAATCATCTAGTGCCACGGTGAAACATCCCAGCCACAGCCCAGACTTCTGTGCTATGGAGGCTGATTCCACATCAGAAATTAACGGAGACAAAATAGGCTGCATATTTGAGTACCGAAGACTGTCAAAGAGCTCTGTACATGGAGATATTTCAGTTGAGTGTGATAGCACATGTATGCTTGCAGCATCACCTATTATTGTGTCACCAGCTTCTGTCTCCAATGGTGAAATAGAAGAAGCGAGAGATTCTTGTAAAGATGACAACAAAGATGGTGAACTGGATAGTACTGAGATGAAATCAAAGGAATGTGCTCATGAAGGGGAAACTAACTGTGAAAGAAATTCTTCTATCATGCAAAACACAGTCCATCACAATAATTGTGAGACAGTGACACATTCTTCCAAGGCTAAAAGTTCTGAAGAAGATGTGGATTTAGAAGCAGCTGACAAACTTTTATCTGAAAACAATCCAAACATTTGTGACATCAGCACTTTTTCAGATGTTAGCCCTAAATCAACAGTTACAATCAAAATTGATGCCCCAGACTTCGTTTCTGACTGCCCTTGTGAGCCTCCTGTCCTCTTTGGTGTCTCACCATCCACAAGACCACGTTACAGTCTGAGGGAAAAACGGCACACAATTGATAGTCCTGATAATGTTTCCACATCAAGAAAAAGGTCACATGTGTCTGTTACTCAGGCAGACAATGACAGCAGCCTTTTAGAAACATTAACCCCACCTACACTTACTCCTGCTTCAGATGCTGTCATGGTTTATAATTCTGGAGAGAAGCGTCTAAAGGTTGTCTCTCAGCATTCTAAACATGGATGTGTCAGCTGTCATCAGCACAAGACCTTTCAGCACAGGAGGCGAAAAAGGCGGTATACTATTCCATCGACCAAGAAGACGGAGTATCACACTCAGCTTTCTGAGAGTGTTCACAGTTTTGTTATGTGTGCTTCACAGCTTTCACGCGTGCAGGCTCACATGCACAAGTTGCTGTCTCAGCTGTTTCCTCAACTGAAGACTGAGTTAGGTTCCATGAGCCCTGAGTCCTTCAACTTCGTGACCCTTCTTTCAGACATTGTCCAAATGCTTGAGCAGCCAGATGACCAGGACAACTCTACACCCCCATGCCTCACTTTATATAGGGATGTCAAGCCAGATTCCATCCAGCAACACCCGAAATTAGAAGCATGTACTTCACAGTCAAGTAATTCACTATGTAGTGTCAACAATGAATCTTCTTCTTCAACATTGTCCAGCCATCCTTTTCAAGTGTCTGCTGATACTGCAGATTTAAAATTAGATGCAGCTTCCTCTGAGTTTTCTTCACCTCCAGTCTTGTCTAGCGTTGACATCTATGATTCTCAGCAAAGACCACACGGAACAACACCACCATTGACTTGTGAATATAGTGATAAAGATCTTCTAACTCCACTCTCTCTGCTGACTGTAACTGACATGGGGGATGTTCTAACGCCGTCTAGAGTCTTGTTATGTAAAGAGCCAGAAGTATTGCTAGAAAAAGTTGTTCGGTTATCTTGTCGGGCTTTGCAGCTTCTTTTGCCGGATTTAGCTGTTAGTCTCTACAATGAGCTGGCAAAGTCCCCAGATGATCTTGTAGCATTCATTAATAATGTGATTTATGCAAACTCCAGAAGGCGTTCAAAACATTAAAGAGTGAAGTGACCAGACATAATTCTACTGTTTATGAATAATGCAAAAATTCAAGAATGTAATGCAGTCATTTAAATATGTTGAATTTGTTGCTGTTTTTGTTTCTTTATGTTGAGGGATATGAGTCTACATTGTACAGTCATTTAACAGTTTGCTGCAGGTTTGTATTTTGTGATATTGGTACCATAAACAAAATAAGTTCAACTGTTGGGTTCACACACAGCAGTAAATAGTTGCAGATTTTGCAACAGAATGTATTTTTAAGCATGTAGAGATTCAAAAATGTTTCATTTACTGTTCTGTATTACATACACATATAAAGTTACAGAGTCTGTTCTCAGTGTTTTTTATTCTGTTATTAACCTCGCACACACACATATATATTTTTCACACCTGTATACAATTCAAATTTCACTATTTTACTTAGCACATGTATACTATACCATGTTTGTTTATTTAACATGTGTGTACTATACACAATTCTTATTGAACACATTTTTACTCAATTATTTGATGAAATGTGACAGAAGCTAAAGTTTAACTAGATGTTACCTTCACAATCAATATTTTCCACTAATTTTGATACATGTTTACTGGTAGTAAACCAAACACAGCACAATTATTGACATTTAGGCAATTGCAATCAAACTCATATCGATAAATGAATTAACTACAACACAAACTATGACTTCCATGCCCAGGGAGGAAGAACAAGAGGAAGAATGCACACATGCTGATACAACCGAATCTTTCATCCAGAAATCTTTATTGACTGACTGACACAACAGGAGGCATCCTAAACTTAGGAAGTCACATGACTTTTCCCTGTTAAGCCTTTAAGTCATATTTAAGTCAGTTCAGTTTGAAACATAAAATGCCAGTTTATTTGGCTAGTATGATCCTTTACCAAATTTTGATGTAAAAATTTTCCTATTGTTGCAGTTATATTAATATCAGCTGTTACATATTCCTGGTGATATATTATTCAGGATAAGGGGTTAGAGGGAAAGAGAGATTCGTAGAGTGTAGAAATACAACATTGAGTAAACATTATTAAATGCCTTTAAGTATTGTATAAATGTATAAGGAATAGGTTATTGCAGGAGAGGATAATAAAAAAAAATTAAAAGAAAATTAAATACAATATTAAACAAAGGAACTTAAGAGGTCAAGTAAAAAAAGTACACCTGACATATAGATGAAAACTACTTGCCTTGATGGATGTACTGGAAGGAAAACAAGCAAGAGGATGTCATTACATATGTGGAAAGTGTAAGCAGTGATTACAGCCTCATCATGGCCATGCTACTACTACCGTCTTTTAGCTGAATTTCAGTATCTGAATCTTTCATTTGTTTTTCCCCATTGTTTTCTTGTTTTACCATTAGGTATTCTACATGGTGTTTGTAGAGCAAAAGTGAAAAAGAAAGTACATGACATCATTTTTTAAAATGTGCTCTGCAGTCAGTCACAAAGCAATTTGCAAGGAATGGATCAACATAAGTAGTCAGAATTACCATTCAAGAAATAATAACAGGCAAGTTGCAGAAGGTATTTGACAGTATGAAAAGATTACGCTCATGTTTGGAAGGTCATGGGGGACATTTCCAAGACTTGTTATAATGCATATTTCATTAGTACCTTACCGCTTCCTGAAAACTGCACTAGACCATAGCAGGACTATTGTAACTAATTTAGTGCATTTTGGCACATTTTTTGATGACGTTACACATTGAGGTTTTTCAAATTTATTTTTTATTCAAAGTGTAGTAGGACTTTATGGACACCCTATACTTGTGCAGCATGTAGTAGATCTGTATCTCCGCTGGACTGTATTTATTTAGCAGGAACGGGCTGTGTTTGATTTTATGGTTTTCACTGGACTTCTGTAACTAATGCAGTAGTGGACAGTTCACATTTGTTTGGGAACATTGTGTAAGGAAGGAAATGGGTGCGTCATGCCAGCAGGGAAGTGGCAGGGTAAGAGGCCGCGGGGGAGACTAGGAGATGATGATTAGACAGTTTGATGTGGTATGGAGGAACATCTCGTAGAAACAGAAGCCGTCGTAATAACCAATGCTGCACAGAAAGAATTGTAAGAACAATAATTTGCAGTAATACACTGTTCTACTATGTTTCTTTTAATAGTTTTGTCTTCTTTGGCTAAGCTCTTTTTTTTTATATCTTTACATCTTATCTTTTATATTCTTGCATTAAACAATGTCTTTTGTGCAGCAACTTTGAATTGCTTGTCAGCTGTTTGAATATTACAGCCGTGATTGGCTGTTTCATGTATCTATGTTCTGGGCAGCAGCAGCAAATTGTAAAAAGTAATTCATGGCAAAGTGATGGATTAACTTACCAAAGTACTGTCTCCATCATTAACAGACATATTGTTCCTCTCCATTAAACTCTTGCCATATTTGATGCTTAAATTAACTCTTCGATAATTGTTTATATCTTGTGTTGCTTTTCCAGCTTTTCAGTATGTTACTGTTTTCAGAAAAGTGATGCAGTTATTGCTTCACATTTATATGGTCTCTGTCAGATTTACTTATTTTGTACCATTATGTGATGACAAAATTTAAAACATTTAGGATTATGTGTTACGTATATTGCTGCCGGGGGATGGGGTGGGGGTTGTTTACATTACTTGTTATATATGTTTCAACATGAAGTACATGCTGCTGATCATAATCCCCCCCCCCCCCCCCCCCCAAATCTCTTTTGTGTCATAGCTGTCATACATCTTGGAACTTTCTCTAAACTGTTCTTTGCATAATTAGACATGCTAATGAGATTCAAAAAGTTATGTACAGTGAATGTCTTTATAATTGTCATTGTTGACTTTTCCATGTGCTGCACATTTTGACGGTCATTTGCCCACTATCTTCTAATTAACAGTAATTCTATCCATGTTTTCTGGTAGGACCAAACATTTCAAACTTTAGAGCTGTATTGTAAAGAAGAGAAAAGCTCTGTTGTAAGGACAGATCATCTGTATTTTAAAAGCCAGTGAGTGAGTGACTGATCTAGATTTTGTTCATTGAATAAATGTACAGACAGAACCCTATGTGTGTTGTGTTTGGTGTATCAGAGGGCAGGCGACAGCTACAAACTGCACAGTTATACTGAAGAATCTTTCTCCTCTGTGGGTTTTGGGGTTCCTTTGTAGGGGGGGGGGCAGGCTTAACCCACGGCCTCCGTAATATGCCCGTCAGAACAGTTATCTGGGGTTTCCTTCACAGTCACATTGCATATGCCTGAGAGGCAAGGAACCAGCTTTTTCGCGTGCTTCTGCCTGAGAGGCAAGGAACCATCTGTCTGCATACAAGTAAGCTAGATCTGTGAAACAGATGTGCATGCAAAACTACAGTCTAGAATAATACTGAAGAAGGTTTTCAAGGGGACCGGATAAACATGTGTATGCCTATGAAGTTTAAGGTAGCTACTCCCATGAGCTGTGTCAGTCTCTTGACTGAAAAAGAATTTACTTGCGTAACCTTTAGACGACTTGCAAACCAAGTCCAGCATTTATTAGCTGCTTATGGTTTCACTAGGCAGTTTGTACGTTCTGTAGTTGGCATTGATTTCTGAATAGTTGTTTGGGTACCATTGTTGAAATCATCACAGAGGTCGACTACCACATTAAAGAAACTAACTGCCTAAAGGGGCAAGAAGTCAGATGTGATCTCCAGATGTGCTCACTATTACATTGGAAGCAACACAGTAATTTATTTATTTATTTGTTTTCAAAAGGTCACAAATTTGACCATGCATTATACGCACACACATTCTACATACATAATATATTCATACATACTCACATATTTATAACTACATATAAATAGACACATACATCCCTACTAATGCACCTGTACCGACATACACTACTCATACACTCAAAAATACCCAAATATACACAGACACCCTCACAGAGGTGTGTACACACACACACATACCCAGCCATCTCAGAGAGGCCTGTGGGTAATTTTAACCTAAGGTAAAATAACGGGACAATTTAATACCAATGGGAAATAATTTAAACTTTGAAGTCTTAAAAAGCACAACTCGACAGTTTAAACAACAAGAATAAACAACTGAAAGTGACTTTTTGCCTGGAGGATTGAGTCAGTCAGTGGTAGGTGTGAGGAGGCCCAGAACCCCTTCACTGTTGTTCATTCTATGCTCAAGTTTTTAAAATTCCTGTACACTCTATTTGTGGTTGTTAGTCAAAGCAGTCGGTGGAATTGAAAAGGTCATGTGTGCTTGTTAATCTGCTATGTCCCCAGAACAAATGGTTGTTAGTGAAGATTGTGTTTAAGACAAATAATTTTATTACATTAGATTCTTCAGAGCAGCTCCCTTATGGAGGATAAGAAAATCACAGTACAGGTGTCTGGTGTCACTAGAATGTGATGGTTGTTTCATGCCTGTTGCATTTGTGTGACAGAGGTAATCAATAAAACGTTTTCACATTGCTGAATTATTCCTAGTGTTGTATTGTTCTCTGTCCTGGCCATTATTATGCTGAAGTTTTTTACAGGTCCCTTTCAGAACATCACAAAGCAGTCACATCATTTATGTGCTGTTGTTTGCATTTACTGTCATTTTACACTGAGTAGTTTGCCATTGCTTTCTGAACAGTAAGGTGAGGATACTGCTGACAGAATTAATACAAAATGGTCTGCTCTCTAGATTTGAAACCCTATAACCTAAGATTATGAAACTGCGTTCACAGTCCCTAAGCCACAGACCTGACCAGCAGTGTAGTAGTTGAATGTCACCCTCAATGTTTCACAGTCAGGGGAGACAATGTGTGTGTTACAACAGGATCAAAATAAATAAAGTTAAATAAAGCTTTTTAACGTAGTCTTGATGCATTCTTTCACAGTATTGAAATAATATTTATTTTAATATTTATATATCTGTTTAAATCCATGTAATCAAGGCTTAGATAGCTCTTTTGTGACGAAATGAAATTCTTAAAGGTGGGTGTG